AAATTTGGGTTCCAAAAGGAACTTTAAGCACTAACCCCCATGGACCCAAGCAAATTTGGGTACCAAAAATCAAAACTTAATTTTGTTTTGTAGGAAAAGTTGATGGCAAAGTCATAAGGAAAGCACAGTTGATCTTAATAAAGACTTATGCCTCAACAAGAATGTTGGAGTGGAAGTGCAAAGGAAATTTTTTTTTTAATGCTCCACTCATGTGCTCAAATTGGTATTATTTACTTTATTGCATTTATTCATTAAGTATAATTACTTTAACATGACTATTAATTATTTGTTTATGTGTGTTCACTCTTTGATATATATGCTTGTTGAATATAATATTATTTGATGTGATTATTAAAATTTATGCAAATTAATGAGCTTGGCATGTTGGATCTTAGTGCTTGATATGACTTTTGAAATTAATGTATTTGCTCATTAGAATTTATGCATATTGATGACTTTGATATGTGTATCTTGATTATATTCATGCTATTTGATGATGCATACATTGATATATAACTAAAGTTGTATAATTCAGTAATTGATGTTCAATTTAAACTTACTTAAATGAAGAAATATCGAATTAAGGTGCATTGTCTTCCAAACAGCCCCAAACCTTTTACTTGTTCCAATCAAGGCCAGTAGAGCCGGCTGCACCTTCTTCACAGCCGACTCAACCCAAAATCCCGAGAGTTTTCTGTCTCTAAAATTGAGCCGGCTCCAAGACTAAAGCCGACTCTCTGTCAGTCTTTAAATCTTTCGAGCCTCTCTCTCTTCGCACCAGATCTGGCATTTTTCGGTCCTCTTTCTCCCAAAACTCACCATTCACTCTCCCAAACACCAAAATCTCTCAAAATCTACCAAAACCAATTCCTCGAATACTCAAATATCTTCAAATCCTTACCTACCCAACACAAATCCACAAGCTTTTTGCTCCAATTTTGGTTGGGTTTGCTGAGTTCTCTCTCTCATGGCTTCAAGAAGGGGCGGAAGCAAAAGGAAACAGATTGGGAGTTCTAGTGTTGAAGGACAGGCTTAGGAGGAAGGTATCCTTTATAATACTTCTCTATTTTGGGATGATGATGACTTCAATCAGTACAATTTTGTCAAAAATTTGGCTATGTTACCATGCAACAATGTGAAGTTTAGTCAGTTTCCTCAAGGGAATATGCATGTAGAAGAGATTTTTAGGGAAATTGGATGGAGTAATTTTTTAGAGATTAAGGAGCATGTGTATAATGATGTGGTTCACCAATTCTATGCTAATTTGAAACCAAAAAGGGAGAAGTGCAAAACTAAGGTTAATGGAGTAGTGATTCAGTTTTCACCTAGAGAGATTTGCAATGTATTAGAAATATCAGAGGGTGGAGATGATGAATTTGAGAATGTCAACCATGAAGAAATTAGACTCGCACTTGCACCAACATGTGCTATAAATCATATTAGTGTGGGCTTTCTTTCACCGGAAAATAGAGCATTGCAGTGGATTATTAGTCGTATTCTTACTCAAAGAAAGGGGTCTAAGTCTTTTGTGCTTACTAGTGATCTTCCTTGGTTTGATTATCTTCTGAAGCGGAAACGGTTGAACCTTGGTAAATTTATCTACCACAACATTGTCAAGAATTACTCATCGAATATGGGTCTTCCGCATGGTGCATTGATTACTAGGCTAGTAAAAAGGAACAACATTGATCTTGAATCTTTTAAGCATGGGAAAATTAAAGTTGGAACTACTCTCACTAAAGCATCCTTTGAGAAAATGCAATATGAGTTTCGGAATGGTAGTTGGAGGAAGAAAGGGGATCAAGCAATGGAACAGCAAAGTGATGAAGAAGAAGGTGATGCGGATCAAGAAATGGCAGAATAGGGGGAAGAAGAACATGGAGGTGATAGCCCAAGACCCTTTCAAGCCTCCATGCAAAGGACAAACCGCGAAACCATGGAGCTAATGATAAATGAGATGCGGCAGCTACACACCGACTTTTATGGTTTCCGGATAGAAATGAGAGGGAGAATGGATACCATGGATGGAAAGCTTGATCAACTTGTTAATCATTTTTTTCCTCCACCCCCACCTAGTGCCACCTAACTTGATATTTCTTTAGTTTGGCTAATCTTTAGGATGGACATCTCAAGGTTATGCATTTTATGTTTTTAGGCTTGTGATTATGTTTTTCTTTGACTATGGATATTTCTTGAAGCTTTTTATCCTATTTTATGAATGGAAATGGCATCACTTGTGTTATCATGCTTTGTGAATGGTTGTTTATGATTTTGATGACTGTATGCTCTTATTGAGGGGGAGCATTTTGTGCTTAAATTGCTCTTCTTAATGGCTATCATGCTTAAATGCTTTAAAGATTGATGTGCATGAATTAAGGGGGAGTTTGTTGATTATGTGCTTTTTGATGAATGACAAAAAAGGGGAGAAGAATATGCTGAATTTAATGTCATTTTCTAGAGTATCTTTGTGCTGAAATTCTGGTTAATATTGAAGTATATATGTGCTTTCATTAATTAATTCTCAAAGTGTTTTGTCATCATCAAAAAAGGGGAGATTGTTGTACCTATGATTTTGATGATTACAAAACACATTTGAGTGACTAATTGGTTTATTTAAGTGTGTAGTTAAGTTGCTAAAAGATTGCAAGTAAACTTGGACTGCACTAAAAATAGACCAAAAGGATTGAAAATGTGCAGAGAGCTGGCTCTTAAAAGCTGCAACCGGCTCTGGTGAAATGGAAGTGCAGAGAGCCGGCTCTGGAAGCTGCAGCCGGCTCTACGGGTAAAGATTTAAAGGTCCATTGTTTGGCGTGTGAGAAGAAAAGACGCAAAGCCGGCTCTAACTTTGTAGCCGACTGTAAGGGTGCATTTAATGCACAACGGTCAACTTATTTGAAAAATAATTAATATTGTTAAAGTCGGAATACCAAAGCCGACTCTAGGCTTTGCAGCCGGCTGTGGAAGAAAACAAACTGTGCATCAAACCCGCAAAGCCGGCTTTGCATTTTGGAGCCGGCTCTACGGAGAAAACATAATGTGCAGAATCCTGCAAAGCCGGCTACAAAAATGGTGAGCCGACTGTATAGAGCCGGCTCTCTTGACAATTCTGCAACTCGACCTTTACGTCCTGCAGAGCATTTAATGACCCCCAACAGTTAAAAACGGCTATTTTCGAGCAAAGGGCTATAAATATGGTTGGTAACAGATTCGAAGAAGTTTAGAGAGCATTGTATTGAATATCTTTACCTACTTACATGAGCTTTAACTTGAATTATTTATCTTTGAGAGATCTTTACTTGTAATCCTCTTCTTATTCTATTTGTGAGCGATCTTGGGGGTGTGATTATTCCCTCAAGAGTGATTTGTAGAGAGGATTGTTTGGGGTTATCTTGTAAATGGGTGAGATTTGAGAGAAACACCCTTCTTCTTGTAAAAGGATTCAGTGGCGCCTTTAAGCCACCCTTGATTTTGTTAGTGGAGAGTGTGGAGGAAATCCTTGGTGAGTGAAGCCAAGGTAGAGGATTAGGTTCCAAGTGGTTGGACCGAACCGCTATAAAATCATTGAGCAAGTTCTTCTTCTCTACTCTCTTCAATTTTGGTGTTGTGGTTGCAAAAGGAGAGAATTTTTGGAACTCCAATTCACCCCCCCTCTTGGAGTACATTGAGTCAACATTTTCCTTTCCCTGTCCATTCCAATTCCTTTGCCCTCTAGTGCTCTCCCTTTTCTCCTATCCTCTCTATTTCTCTTATCGTGCTTGAATCAAGTTTTTGCCAAACAATTAGATCTAAAAAATTGGCAAAGTCATTAGATTATGAAGGTTAAGGTGAGTAAGTGGATAGTGGGTGATGGGAAAAAGCTCAAAGGGAGATGCTGTGCAGAAGTTATGCTAAAATGAATGTTAAAGACGTGACAATTCTTTTCATCATTGTCTCTGCAATTTCCTTTAGTTTGCTGATTTTCCATTATTATTTCCCTAAATTAAAGTGATAATGGCCATGTTGGATTGGAAGCACTGTGCTCATCCAAGTGTTGTTGACATGTAGACCTTTGAGAGAGTTCCACTCTGTTTTCACTAGCATCACCGACCTAAATCTAGGTTCTTAAAATTTTTTTGTGGGTCTCCTTTTTTCTTCTGATTTTGATTTTTGTTTGAAATTAGATAATTTTTGTTGATAAGGATATTTTGATATTTCTATGATGCTTTTTGTTGAAACTCGAAATCAAAGATGAAGTAGTTATTATCAATTTACAACTAAAGCAATGGTGTCATTGATGATGGAGTTGTTTTCACTTCAACTTAGGTGACCCAATTGGGGGATTAGAGGTGAAAAAATAAGTGTAGAAGGGGAGGGGGAGGGTAAGATTTTAGCATGTTAATAATCACTAAAAAAAAGGTGAAAATCCATATAATGCCATAAAAATATTTGCTTGATCTTGGTTAGACCTATGTGTGGCTCACCTGAGGTTGAGTTGAGTAAGTTGTACATGAATTGCTTAATCTAATTACCCATACTCTTTAACATGGTTGGGGAAGTTTTAACATTTTAATAATAGCAAATAAGTTACACAAAAGTATGTTTGGATGAATAGGATGAATTTTGATTGAGAAGTGCCTTAGGAAGTTAATGTTTGGATGTTAATTGTATAAGAGAGTCAAGTTTTATAGTTG